ATCAGCTTCACTGATCTGCTCTGGCCTGCTTTGTGCTGGGCTGGGGAGGACATCGCCCTACTGCAGTTTTCCTGACCTGCAACAGGAGCAGGGACAGAGGCAGCTCTCACCCACGTGGAAGAGGCACCTCAGACCCTTGAGGAGTATGAGCAGCTTGAGAACAGCGTTTTTCTTTCCAGCCTGAGCTGCAGTGCCCTGGCCTCAAGCACACTCATCACATAAAATGCACTTTAGGCTAAAAGCGGATGCAGAAACTGGACTGAATGGGGTTAGACAGAAGCCCAGGAAGGCTTCAGCGAACGACCATGTGCTCAGGGTGTTATTGGGATAGCATTAATACAGCACACGTGGTCCCGCGGCCAGAGGAAATGGCTGGGGCCTTCCCTAGAATTGATGACTTTATCCCTTGCATTTGCACCAACCTGCTGGCGGTGGCTGGCTTTGCTTGCAGAAGCAGCTGTTCTTCCTCTTCTGGTGTGTGTGCAGAGCCCTGCGTCAATAGGAAAAAAAAAAAAAAGAACAAAAAAAAGGCGCTGTTGATTGTTATGTGCTCCTGTTCATTCAAGCAGTGCTTGTCATGACAGGGCAGTAGCAGCGTCTGGTTGTCCTTTGACACCAGCCCTAACTGGGTGGAACAGAAGAGAGCACCCATCCCTTCCTAGAGCCAGCAGCTGTCAGAGAGGGCAGGAAACAGTGACGGGATCTGTTCATGTTCTTGACCTCGCCAGTCCTCCTGAGGGCTGCATGTGGGGAAGAGAGATGGAAGGATTCCCTCATGTGCAGGACATGCCTTGCTAAAGGACAAAGATGACAACTACCATACAAACCACAGTTAAATGTGTTTATTAAGTAAAACCACTACTTTATAGATGATTATGCTGCATATAGATGCAAATCTGTGCTCTTTATAGTAAAGCCGAGTATTTCTTCACCTAAGCTTTAATAAAACTACAGTTTCATTTTGCAGACTAAAAGCTATAAACTACTAGTAAGTTATGTGCATGAGTTGCTGCACTGTATTCAGGATTAATTCTCCATTTTGCTCTTCGGTTCCTTGTAAATCTACCTGCTTTTCTCCAGTGTTAATCTGGAATTTAACCAGATTAAATCCAGACAGAATTGGCACAGCACTTATTTCTCTGTTAGCTCTGACTGAACCTGACTTCGCAACTCTGTGGCTTGGTACCTAGAGGCTTGATACCAAACCCTGGAAGTCTGTCCACACAAGAGGACCATTTTAACTAGCAATAAAACATCTGTGAGACCTACGCTTCTCTCGAAGAAGGAGGAAAGGAATGGAAGCACTGATCAAAAAGAGACTCCCACAGTACCAGTGTAATGAAACATCCTTCCTGGAAGGGTAAGAGATTCCACGAGGCATTCAAGGAAGCTCTAGTGAAGAGAAACAATGTGCAGTGGGATTTCAAATAGTCCTTCTGTCAAAGGAAAACCCTGAATTGTTTTTTTCTCTTGAATCGAGCAAACAGCATTCCCAACTAGGCACAGGACAAATTGGAAGATGACAAAGGGGAAACATTTCCGTTTATTTATTCCTCTTTAAAATGACTTAAAAGCAAATTTAAAACACTATTTAAAAAAGAGAGGATTCAAAATATCAAGAAGCTGAAAATAAAACCATGAAGGAGGCATACAAGGTTAGCAGAACAAAGAAAGCATAGATAGTATAAAATAGATTTACAGTCTCAGTGAACAGCAAATTCATGGTGCCCATGTAAACGGAACAGCATGTAATACTGCCCCTACCCTCTGGAACACAGAATTATTTCATCATTTTTACTAGGAGTCTCTGGCTTAAAAAGTCACCTTTCTAAAAAATGCCATGATAGGAAGCATTTAATCAAACATGTCCTCAAACATGCGTTGCCCCATGGCTATGTAAAGCTCTTTTTCCTCTGGTGTCATCTGGGCCACCAGCTCAGGGCGCTGGCTCACTTGGCTGTATGAATGTGGACGCCCAGCCACTGTGACAGTGGGGTCTTCTGCCACCACCTCAAACTCTTCATCCTCATCCTCATCCTCCAGCCCGTACGTCGTGGTGGCCGTAGCGGGAGGGCGGGGAGGGGATTCCTCCTCCGACTCGCTTGTCTCACTCTCGGAGTCACTAGCGTTGGCACCGGACAGAGGAGCGGCACCTCCGACTGTGACTGTCGATGCTGAAGGTGTCTTCTTCTCGTGGATAAGCAGGGCACGCATCACCTCCTCATTATCATCCAGAGCTGCTCGGCCTTCCTCACGCTCCTGGAAGGCATCCAGATCCCGGCCCCCTGCAAAGAGACACAAGGGAATGATCGTTTTCTCACAGAGATCCGGGTGACGGCCCTGAAGGCTTTCTGGACCCGTATTAATTACTGCCACTGAGCACACTTGGCCAAGTCACACCTGTTCTCTACGCCAGCTCTTTCTCCCTGTTAAAAGACAAAGACATTTATGTTTTTAATCAAGACAGCAGAGCAGGCACCTGGAAGAGACCCCCAGGGAGGTGGGCAACTCAGGTGCCCCTCAGTTGGGATAATGTGCTTTTCTTACTGTGGGGCAGAAAGCAGTCCTTGGGACCTAAATCTGGGCTTCCAGATACCCAGACTACGCACCTTACGATGACACTTGCCTGAGATACAGTAAGCAGCTTGGTGTTGTTTCACAGATGAACAAGCACAGGCCTTTTTTGTCCTTGTTTTCAGGTTGAGTGACCACAGTTTGGAGGATGTGCGGTGATGACCAAAACCATGGGATGTTGCTGGCACAGATAATACAGATTCAAACCCAGGCCCTGCCCTGCTGAGCTCGCCATCTATAAGGATTAAGATGGAGAAGCAGATGTCCCTGCCTATGGCACGGGGATTGGAACCAGGTGAACTTTAGGGTCCCTTTCAACCCAGCCTGTTCTACGATTCCATGATTCTATGATTCTATGAATCCGGGCAGATAGGGAGTATGAAGAAACCGTGTGTCATAGACCAACATTTTTTTACATGATATGGAGCGACAGGATATGGGGTAATGGCTTTAAACTGTACGAGATTTAGATGAGATGTAAGGAAGAAGTTCTTTGCTGTGAGGATGGTGAGGCACTGGCACAGGTTGCCCAGAGAAGCTGTGGCAGCCCCCTCCCTGGCAGTGTTCAAGGCCAGGCTGGACAGGGCTTTGAGCAACCTGGGCTAGTGGGAGGTGTCCCTGCCCATGGCAGGGGTGTGGGAAATAGATGGTCTTTAAGGTCCCTTCCAACCTAAAACATTTTATGATTCAAAGCAGCTGTGTCTGGTAAGCTCGTACCTACCAGGCAGGAAGTGAAAAAGCTCATTACAGGAACATGGTGGTGGTATCGATCTATCTCATGAAGCAGATGAAGCTTACAGCCTGCAGCTAAGTGGAAGACTGCATTAAAACAGCTCCTCTTGCTCTCCAAGCCGAAATGTGGCCCAGCCAGTCTCTCTGGCTCCTTACCTGGACCTCTTATTTGACAGGGACTACAGTTTCCCAGCTGACAGACACACGGCCTGTGCACCCGTTCAGTAAGCTTGGCTGTACGACAGCTGGGAGGGTCTAATGTGGCTTGGGTAGGTGGGGTGTCTGCAGTTCACAGATTCAAAAAGAAAATTCTGTTCAAAGAGCGGCATTCTGCAGAATACTTTTCCTAATCTTGTATTTGATGAGAGGACTGTGACTTCACCCAGCACCAATAAACCTACAGGGAGTATGGGAAAAAAAGAAGAGAAAAAAAGAAAAAAAAACAGAAAAAAAAATAGAATACAGAGAACCTTATGTCAAAATACGGACTAAAAAGAAGGACAGACTCCCCGTGGCCAACTTTGTCTCTTGCACCTAAAGGTGCTGCCTATGAACAACTGCTGGAGCTCAGGTGATGACATTCTGCCTTCATACATTAACGCCACTTGCCTGCTTTTCCAAGACCTGGACCCTTATGGTTTCAGCACTACATCCAGGCAGCTGGCACGCAAACCTTTCCCCCGAGGGTCAAAAATGCACTGGTTACTTTTTGCAACTTGAAATTAAAAAAAATGGCGAAGAACAGGTAAGCTAAAGAAGTAAGTTCTGCACTAAAAGCACTAAAAGCCAGGGGAATTTGTGGTTGCTTCTTTCCTGTGTAAAATAAAGGCCAAAAGACCCACCTCTGACTTCATTGGACTCACGCTTTTATTGTAAATGAAATTGTAGCAATAGGTGATGACTGCAACTGCTATTATTAATGCAGTGGCAAAATTCCTGCAAGAAAGGAAGAATCGAAGTGTGTGCTGGCAGCCTAGAGCTCAGCTTGTTCCTTGTGACTGTAGCGCATAAGAGGCCATTGAAGAGCATCTCTGTGAAATAACATCCCAATTTATCACACAGGGAGCTGTGAAGCAACAGCCTGGAGTAGCTCCATGAAGTCTGCCTTTGTGGCTTTCGAGTGCGGATGTCTCTTGCTTGCATGAACTGTTCCTGCCAGATCCAAGCAGTGAAACTTCTGTCAATGGTCCCAAGTTTCTGTTCTCCCTGTTTAAGTCACACAAGAGCTGCAGAAATGTGCTGCAGCAGCAATTTCAGGCTATTTCCATCAGCCCCCACTCCCATCGTCAGTGGTGGAGGAGGTTAAGCCACTGTGCTGTAAGGAGATATACTCCTCCTTCACATCCTTCAGTGGCATCTGAGAAACAATTATACTGTGTACACCAGAAGTAATTTCAAGGAAAAAATTCAAAATTACAGGTGAACTGAACATCTAGCAGAAAAGCTGGGTGAGAACTCACTATGGCTGGTGAATAACAACAACATCTGCCACACACCGCAGGAAGAAGTTGTTTCAACCACCTCATTTTATTTAATCTATTTGGAAAAATGTTTTGGGATTCATGTGGTTGAAAGATGTTACATGCAAACAGGTTCATCAGATATGTTCGGACCATTACATCACATCCATTTGCTTTACTTGCGGCCCCTCTCTTCACTCCAGCCTCTCTCCTGAGCACTGCTATCTTCTCTTCCTAGGACATGAACAGTTTTGGTCTATAATCTTCAAATTACTTGGAAGATTGCATCTATTGATCCACTCCTGTAAAAATCTTCGTAAGAAGTCTCTATTTCCTATTTTTAGTGTGTAAGCTTAAATAGCACACGTACCCAAACAAAATGTTTCTACTAATGACTACAAGATCTTGGCTACTGTCTGTGGCTATTGTCTATGGACAATAAATAAAAATAAAAGCAAAGATAATGAGAAACAAATAGAAAGTGATAAAGACTCACCTGCCATGGTTACAGACTTTTCCTACTGTACTTCAAGAAGCTTTATTTCTGACATATTCTTCATATAAAACACATTTTGAAAAACAACTGGGAAGGTGGCGGCTGGGAGCACAAAACCACTGCTGGTAGATTTGGTAGGCTTCAGAGTCACTGAATGTTAATAAATGTTACTTTTCAGCGGTGCTCTATTAGGGAGGCAGCTTTCTAGGTGAGACTGAAACACCTTCAAGGGCAATAAACTCTCAAGGTGGAAGACATAACAGATAATTAACATTTTAGAAGCCCATAGACAACTGCATGGACAGCTCAGCTTTACTGACCTAGATTTCAATTCTGGATTTAATAAATTAGGATTTTTTACATCTCCCTACACACATCTCCTTATGTGCTTTGCACGGCAGAGGGGAACAGACAAAATCTGTAGTGCAGGGAGCAGCAGCTGTACACACTTAGGGGAACGTATTTTTGACAGTACTCTAAAAGCATCACATAAGCAAAGCAATACTTCTGGTCTGTGAATTTTCTTACCATCTTTGATTTCATCAGGGTCATAAGCCCCCTGCACTGTGCTCTCCCGTAGCCAAATTGGTCTTTCTTTGGCTGGCTTTCCTTCACTTGCAGACTTGTTAAGATCCTCCTGGTCCTCCATGCTGATGACAACGTTCTGGGTATACAAGTCCTCATATGATGGTCCTTTTGTAGTCCACGCTTCCCGATGGTGTCCACCTGCAAGGCCAGCTGCTGTCCCTGAACCAGCACCAGCTGCACGCTCCTTGCTACATAAAAGTCAGAAAGAGAAAAACAGAGCACTCAGAACAAGCGCTTCCTTGGCCAGCATTGCGACACTTAAACTATGATTAATTATCTCCCATGATCTGCACAAAGAACTTGCATTCTCATTTCTAACATGTGGTGCCAGAAATTTCCACACCAGCTTGCTGGTTTGGGGAACTTGGAGATCTCTCATGGAAAATCCTGCATGAAGCCGTGGCAACTTTCACAACAGACACTCAAAAGAAGAGGCAGCACTAAAGCTGCTTATGCACTCACATAAAACCAAACATAAAATCTCAGAATGCCCTAAAATTAAAGCCACAGCAGCCAAACACAGTCAAACAGTAATGTCATATTTGGAAAAGCAGCAACTACGTACTGCATTAAAAGAAAATACTGAAGTTTAAGCAAGTCAGATTGTAGGCCCAGAGACCCAGCATGCTCAGATCTGTGAACTGTTATTAATCACAGGACTTGTGAAGGAGTTAACTCCCCACAAAAAACCCACAGTTCGAACCATCCCTTGAATGATGAGTGACACTGAACATGCTAAGTCACACCTCCCGTGTTACACAGGAGATCTGTACCATCCACTGACACAGCCTTGGGAGGACTGGCAAACCCAGGCAGAGGAGAAGAAAAGATGAGAGGGCACCTTCAAACCAGAGGACTAGGGCTGGGTGAAGGGCTTTGCATGGTGATGGTGCGTGGGAGGAGAAAAGACAGAACTGTCTTTGTGGAAAAATGGAGAAAGGCAGGCAATGACTGACGCGAAGGGTATGGCAGTCAAAGCCTAGCCCTCCTTTGTTTTTTGAGAGGAGCTGCAGCCAGTACATTTTCCTCCAGGCTCCCTTCTAGCTCAGGAGACTGATAGAGAAAAGAAATACTCCTGCTTGGATCTGATGCAGAGAGGACAACAGGCAGAGTATTTTCTGCATAGCTATGACAATAAGGTCTCTAGCCAGTGCTGCTGCATACACATCGATCAGGAAAGCAGCTGAATGGAATCTCACTGATCTCCAGGTGGGGAAAGCCAAATGTGACCATTCCTCTACTTCAAAATCATATTTCATCTTCTCAGAGAAACAGATGCACTGCAGGCTGCACCCACCCTCAGCCACATAATTTCAGTCATCTGTGGTACCTGTGGCTTTTCCTGGGTAACAGCCCTGCCTGGACTCCTCCTCTTCTCCAAAGCAAATCCATCAGGGATGCTCACAGTGCCCCTGCTCTGCTGCCAGCTGAGCTGACAGAAGTTGTCAGTGAGCATGGCTCAGCCCCTGCTCTTTACCCAACGACCTTTCCTCCAACTGAGAAGCTTAAAATAAGATTGCAGTTGGAGAAGACCTGAGTAATAGGCTATTTTTTAAATTCAGCACGGACTTAACCACTGCTTGATGTGCTAATTCTGCCAGATTTTTAGTGGAAAATATGCAGATAGGTGGTCATCTCTCTTCCCCAGATAAAAGAATATTTATGTGTTCAGATGCAGTTTGGACTGAGGGGTACTCACAGCCTCCCAGTAGTGAGTTTGCTGGGGTCTGTTAGCAAAACACTTCACAGCATCCATTTCAGCATGTGTCCACACACTAACCAGTTCCCTCCTGCAGCCAGCGCAGCTTGGAGAGCTTCACAGCAGCCTTGGATTTCGGGGCAGAAGACTCATGTGCATGTATTGCTTATATAACCTAAGGAACCACACAGAGACCTTCCTCCCAGTGCGTTATTTCAAGTGTTGGTACCTTTCAGCTCTCCAAGACAAGCGTGTGTTCTGTGAAAAGCACCACTCTGCTTCCCACACAATAGCAATCTCTAACTAGCGTTTCCCTGACGATTTTATGTAATCCACTTTCCTCACAAGACACACAATGCAGCTCTCCCCTAAGTTCTCCCTCCCCACGACTGCAGCATGACAGCTAAATACTCAGTAGTGCCAGGATCTGCCTAATAATACTTTTGCACAGAGGTCCCTCCAAGTGTGCCTGAAATGGACATTTCCCCCTACATGGTATCATTTAACAGCAAAACATTTATTCCAAGATGTCAGGAACATTTAAAAAATGAAAGTAACAACTTGAAGAGACACCTACAGTACTAAATACTTAAAGCCATCTACTACAATGTCCCACACTTAGGGGAAACCATCCAGGCCACTTTCTACTTTTAGACTGCAGTGGACTTTGCAAAAATGCCTTGATTTGCCTCCTTTTTTGAGGAACTGCATCTTCAGCGACACCATTGGCAGGAGGCAGCAGCCTCTCAAGGCTACGTGATCAGGGGAACGCTCTTTACTGCAAGAAGAGATCTTGCTGTTCAGCAACTCTGTTCCAAAGTGCAGGATTAAACACCACGGATCAGGCACCAGCAAAAGATGCACGAGTTGCCTTCCGGGCAGCACAGGGCACTCTTAACACTCTCTCTATCTTTGATACAAGATCTGCTTTTTCCCCACTTAGACTCTGCACGGCCATCTTGCAGCCAAAGGCTGTGGCAGCTCAGTGGCCCACATGTGGCTACGTTTGCTCTGATACCCATCAGCTGTTTTACTCTTATGGAAATCCTTTAGTGAGTGGTTAGCTGCCTTTAAAGGCGACATAAATCATCTTTGACATAGCTGAGGTATGGCCCACAGAAACCACACTGTGCAATGGGGAAACAACTTGAAATTTTCATCTCAATCCCAACCAGACTATTAAGAAAAGGTCTTGCTTAATGGGGATAGGTCTTTTCGAAATAAAGCACTTTTTCACTTAGCTGCTCTTAAGAGCTTCAACTTCACAACAGACAACCCGTGGTCCTTGACAGCATGACCACAGAAAACAAATTCTGTGAAGGTTTTTTGTATATAAAATCATTCAATTTTGACATAAGAAAATGGAAGGGTTATTAAAATCCATCTGTTTTAGAAGACCACAGAGAAGTGCTGAGGTAAAGCAGGTTTATTTTGAAACCTGTGGGGCTAATTCACATTTCGCCAAGATCAAGAAAATTAACGGTCTCCTAAAAAGATTTGTTTCCCACGGCAGGTGAATGACAGTTACGCAATGTCAGTGTGGTCGCTTAGAGCTCTAGGTCTCCTGAAAACACATGAAGTTGCCTGTGTCGGTGTAAAAAAAACGATGCAGGCGCTTTGTGACCTTTTCTGTTTGTTTCAGATCACCAAATGTCAGTCTTGTCAGTGATTTCAGACACTCAAGACTCCATAAAAATAGAGGGAATAAATAATCCAGAGTTTGGCACTTTAAAAAAAATAATCTCACAGCAGTGCTTTCATGCAATTAGTTGCTTTGAATTAATAAGAGTTAATAAATAATTAAATCATTGTATGTGCTGAAGCAAGTTGTGTTCAAGTAAGCATTTAAAAAGCCACCTATTTATCCTGTCATTCCTTGCACAAAGTAATTAATCATTTACAATGTTTTTTAAGTATTTAAGAGTCAAGTAAGTGGGTGCTGCTATTTAATCATGGGACTGCACAAGACTTCTGTGACAATTCCTGTGCACAGAAGAGAAAGACTGAGAAATGACTCTCTTTCTGGTTGGGTTATCCCAGTTCTACCAAAACTACAGAAGAGGGTTTTTAAAGCAAAGGCTAGTGATTCAGCTTGGGCATAAAGGCTTCAAAGACTCCACGTATCAGCAAAGACATGTTGAGTGACCTTGGAAAAATCTCTTCCTCTCTCTACATTTCTTGTTTTTCTCTCAGAATGATGAGGATAATCATCTACCTTCTTGGCTAGAAAAAGAAAATCATCTACCTTCTTGGCTAAAAAAAGATTATGAATAGACAAAGAATTTTTTATTATATTAATTAGAAACCATCTAGCCTTTCTCCAGGTTAGCCTGAGAGAAACTAAAAAGAGTATCCTGCTTGCTCTCCCACTAACTAAAGCCAAGTACCCCAAGGAACTGTGGGAATGCTTCCCCTCATGGTACATTCCCCCCTCCGTGTGTTTCATTAATTAATTAATTAATTTTTTTAAACACAGAGAAGTGCATCACATTTCACCACGGCTGACAAAACTGACAGCTCCCCACATCTTTCTGCATTATTTAAACATCATCTATTTTTTTACAGCTAGGAATGTTCTGAAAGAAAGTGTCATCTCCCATGGGTAGGAACATTTTAAAGAGTTTTTGACTATAACATGCTCTCCTCCCAAAAGGAAGAGATGTGTAACAAGTAGAAGAAAATCAGAATTAAAAAATTACCTTTATTATAAGTAATGTCTTCAAACTAGAATGCAAAGTGGAGAACGCAGAGAGCTTTCAAAAGCTCAGTAGAAGCAAAAGGAATAGATGACAGATAAGGATTTGCGAGAAAGATGACAGTGTAGACAGCACGTTCCGAGCTCTGCCGAACAGCTGCAGTTTGCATTTCTGAAATATTGGGGCAAGGGCTTGGTATATGTATGAGTTGCAGCAAGCAGCAGGTAAATTGAGTACTCCACCGTGCAGAAAACTACATGGGGGAGACTGACTAGAAGAACAGTCGTTTGCCTTGTTTAGTAAAAAATGATTACAGCCCTTTGTGTCCTTATAAACCACACACTCCCTGGGGAATCTGTTAGTTGCTTGCATAGCTGGGGATGGACATGTAGGTCCCCAATGCAGCCAGAGGCTGCACAAGGTTTGGGAAAGCCTCACAGCACAGACAAATGCACTACAAGGAAGCAGCACAGCAAGAGAAAACCGGGCACGTTCCCACCTCTGCTTCAGGGCAGGAATCTCCGTGGGTTCTGGTTCAAGGATGTTATAGGCTAAGTTAACGTCTTCCGTCTCACGAAGCAGCGCATAGATGGGCTCGATCTGCTCATTAAATCTTGCCACGAGTGTCCTTGCATCCTTTTTGGGCATCGCCGACTCATCTTCTTCCACTTCAGTCTCGCAGAAAGTACAGCGGAAAGTTCCTAAAATGAAAAACGTTGCAAAGCGTTGGAAGGGAAGCAACAGGCCCGGCTCCTTATGCAACCTTTTAAATAGCAGTGCTTTGCTGTTTTCTTAACTTGAAGCTAAATAGCTTTACCTATTTCGTTTTCCCCCGACAATCCCTTCCCACACACAGTGTACCTGGTTATTGTTTAAGCAGACCACAAAGCAAGCAATACCCAGTTGGGTACAGTTTCTTGCTCTGAAAAGCCCAGGTGGGCTGCAGCACATCTACTGAGACATCTCCGAATCTCACTCTCTCTTTCTTGCTTGGCATTTTAAATGTCAGCTGAGTCTGGGCTCTGATAAAAAGTTCTACAATATACTCTTAAGAATCCAAATATCGTCTGTTTCAGGTGCTTGCACTGGTGTCTCCCAGCCCACGTGAACATGCAAGGTTCACAACAAAACAGGGTGCAGCTTTATACTGCACCAACCAGCCTGCACAAACTGCTACTATAACCATTTTCACTCTGCAACTACTGAAAAAAAGATGGCTGGTCCTTCTTTTTCAGGGCCAAAACCACCCAAAATAGTCATTATAGCACAGTAGCAAATGCAAGAATTTATTCCACCTAACCCTCATATTAACTTATTGAAATTAACAATGGCAAGATAAGAGTTGTATGAACGGCAGTTAAGAATAAGCTCGTTTTACAGAGCTCATCAGGATCTATAAACACAGGTCAAACATAAAGGCAACTGAAATAGTTGCATGGCAATGCAGTTACAAAAAAACCTACACAGCAGGCTTTTCAGTTTCATCGCTCCATCTGTAAGTACGACCCTTGGGGCAGCACATGCACCTTAGGACCTTACCATATGGTCAAAGAGAAGGGAGCAGCACAGTGTAATGACTTATCCCTGCAAGTGCTGGACTGAGAATCTTCCGCTGCCTCCTCAGAACACTTGCATCCAGAGCGATGCTCACAGGCCTCTCAGTTTCTCTTGCCCCTGTGTGATTTTATTTATTTATTTAGCAGTTCTGTGACACCTATACATATCTAGCATCATTTCTCAATGCCCCCATGAGGAAAGGAAAATACCTCCTTACTAACAGGGAACCGGAGGCTAGGTCATGTCACGGAAATGATAAGCTTATGCCTAAAAATCAGAATCAGAAACAGTATCGAGGTCTGCTCTATCACCAACGCTACACACAAACACAATCGAAAGAATGGCATTTGCCCAGGGCACACAGGCATGATGTAATGAGGCAGGCTGGCAAGCCAGGGTTTCTGGTATCTTGTTTTGCTGCTTACACCGATTTGCTATTCTTGTCACTTCATTTTTCAGTGTATCTCCTTCTCTGCCTGCAATACAGTGATAAAAACAGACCTAACTTCTTCAGTGGTGTCTGTGAGGGCTAAACAATGCTGACACGCTTCTTGGAAAACACAAAAAAGCAGTTTATGACAGGAGGTAGATCTGTTGCCTCTCCCGACAATCTGTAGAGATGTAGTCTTCTACCTTGGCACTATCTGAAGTAGCTTTTGCTCATTGTTACTCGTAAACTAATGTGACTGTGTTGTACATGTGGCCTCTAATACATTTCCTGCAATAAACTCTTTCTTTAAAAAGTTTGTCTTATCTACATGTAAAAAAGCCACAGCACACAACAACAGCAGTATGCAAAATAAAGGATAAGCTGATAAAGTGCTCTTCTCTCCCATCCCAGCATGAAACACTCTGCATATTTTTTCAGGCTATAATAATTGCCCCTACTGATTCAGAACCAGTATGTTATATAAGCTGTCAGCCCGGCAAAAATTGAAGCCCAAGTTTGGTCTCCCACATCTGAGGCTACTGGTGTGACACACCGGCAAACAAGTCGAAGCAATTTAAAATAATTAGCACAGCTCAGTTCCCATAATGGACTAAGTGAACAAATACAGGTTAATGAGAAAAAACTCCTCTCTTTACACCCCCTCCAAAAGTCCTGTTACATGTTCCTGAGACAGCTCAGACTTCTCACACTTCCATCTGTGAACCTCATGAGTATTTGCAAAAGATCGTAGGGAGAATGGTTCCAATTCAGAGCACCAAAAAATCAGAAAGCAAATACAGCTCTAATGAAATGGAACTCCTAAAGCTATCATGGATTTGCTGCAACTTCCACCCCTCAGGGCTCTTAATAAGCAAAAAAAAAAAAAAAAAGTTAATAGATGAATTATGTAAAGAATCTGGGAATGAGTGAAATGACAAGCTTTCTCCATTAATATGCTGGGTTTTTTTTCGAGATGATGCAGCACTTCACAAGAGGCATATGTGATTAGAGAAGTTGCTTTGCCATGGCAGATGGCATTTGTATGTTGCAAACCTCTTTTGTTAAGATTTTAAGAGGTCACAAAATGTCACCAAAGCTTTTATGACATGGCACATCGCATCAGCAGTGACACGTGTTCCTTACAGACACAAACTGCATGTGACAAACATGAAGTGGAGGCCACCCAAAAGCTGGGAACGGCAACGCTCACATTCTCACAATATATTTCTTCCTTCAGCCCTTACAAAACTGATAGTCTTCCATTCCAATACACTGCATCAACCAGGACAAGTAGATATCCTGGAGCAAAGAGACACGAAGCTTTCCTGCATCTTGGAAATGCTAATGGAGAGCGCATACATCCCTTCCTTCCCACATGCTCAAGCGTTCCACAGATCTCTCTGGTTACATGTTAAAAACCAGCCATCTGAAAGAGATCTCCTTGCCTGCTCCCAGACTCTCCAGGGCAGATACACTGGTAATCTGGCTCCCCAAGGCATACTAAGATTAAAGCATCTCAAATTCTGAAGTATAGTGCCAGAATATTTAGACATAATTCCGAATGACTTGATTTCACTGGAGAGGAGGAAAAGGTCAACTGCCCACGCCCACTGCACATGGGACGTCCAAGTGTGCCTGCTGCACCTGATACAATTAACACGTTTAACTGGCTGCAGCCTCTTGAGTCTGGGTGCAGGTCCTCCTCACGTCCTTCTCAAGGGGTTCGCACTTCATCTCCAGCCCAACAAGGTGTCTTCCTTCCACTCTTTGGGATAACACCCCATACTCTCACTACTCTGATACACACAAACTATTTCATTTTCAACCTAAACAGATTCCTATTCATTTCAAACTTATGTACTGTCGTTCTGAAAATTGAACCTCAACAAAGCTAGTTTCCCTCTTGACGATAATCCTTCAGGTATACTTACAGACTGCTGTCTTACTCATCCCTCCACTTTCATTTTGCAAGGCTCATTAAGTCACAACACCTTTTAAAATTGGTCACCCATTCCTTCAATCATGCTATCAACTCCACTGGCGCTTTCTCCTGTATCCTCTCATCTTTCTGAAAGCTGGAAGTATAGATGAGTGTCCAGATGAGTTCTCGCGGCAACCCAACGGTGTCAGCGCTTCTCTTGACAGGCACTGAGACCTTCTAAGATCACAGTGTAACAGAGCATGGAAGTGCTGCCTCAGTTATCACAAGATCTAGCAATGCTCCCAGACCTTTCTCTCTGCTTTGTAGTTTCCAGTTGGTGAGCGCCACGTTTATAGGAGACACGTGCATTAGATGCGAGGTGCACGACACCGCTTATACTATAATCTTTCAGCTCCTTTTTATTCCTTCAGCCTTCATCCTCATTGAATACTTTATTCTTGACTGAGTCACAAAACATTAAGCTAATTTATTTTCAAAATCTCCCACAACCTTCTTTTAGAAGTAGCACTATTATCATTACATGGAGAGTAAGCTAAGGCACAGATGGCACAATTTCAGAACTATCTGCTGATTTGAGCAGTACTTGATTTGAGATGCCTAAGAAACTCTTTTCTGAAACTCCTGTTTCAGAAAAGAGCATGCAGTATTTTTACCAATCTCCTCCCAGGCTCTAAAACTGGGCATCTCAAATGAGTTAGGTACAACAGCTAATGGAAGCCTTTGAAAAGTTCTGCTCAAAATGGTATTCACATAGAAAATCAGCTGGCCTGGAGGATCAGATCACGTTCCTGTGGCTCCTGTAGCCATTTTCTTCAAGTAATTAAAGTAAGAGGGATATGGATGTGTCAGAACGAGTTCAGAGGAGGGCCACAAAGATGATCCAGAGACTTCTGCTATGAGGACAGGCTGAGAGAGCTGGGATTGTTCAGCCTGGAGAAGAGAAGACTCCGCGAGGACCTAACAGCTGCCTTCCAGTACCTGAAGGGAACCTACAGGAAGGCTGGAGAGGGACTTTTTACAAGAGTGTCCAGTGATAGACAAGGGGAAATGGATTTAAACAGAAGGAGAATAGGTTTAGATTGGATCTTAGGAAGAAATTCTTCAGTACAAGGGTGGCAAGACTCTGGAATAAATTGCCCAGAGAGGTTGTGGATGTGCCCTCCCTGGAGATGTTCAAGGCCAGATTGAATGAGGCCTTGAGCAACCCGGTCTAGTAAAGCGTATGGGAGGTTGGATTAGATGATCTCTAAGATCCCTTCCAACCTAAGACATTCTATGATTCTAATTCCCTGGCTCTCATGCTGCACGCTTTTCCTTTCTCCTGCAGCAAGCCAGACAGCAAGCACGCATTATATGCACGCAGATCCGCTGTCTCACTGAGCAAAGCACATGTGTGAGGGGGAAAAAAAAAATCACGTTGCAGAGAAGTTACAGGATCCATAAGCAACTTGAATTTCAGCACTCCCTAACCCCAAGTGCTTCATCTGATGTTAAAAAGAGAGTATTAAGACCCTGAGGATCAGACAGGAGTTCCCTAGGTTCCTGCCAACAGGAAGTTGGACTGTTCCTGGATTTTCCCCACTCTGATGGTCCCATTCTTCTTGCTAGCCTAGCAAGTCTTGTCTATCTAGTCCTGCTTTCTCAGCCTGGGCTTCTCTGACTTCTCAGACTTTTCTGTCCATCCTTTTCCTGGACTGCTTTTTCCAGTCTCAGCCTCTCTCCACTCCCATGCTTCTCTGCTCTATACTCTTTGGTCAGCTAATTCTGCTTCT